ATGAACCTCGTCTGATGGTGGAGTTGTCATCTGTTGGCTCACTAGAGGATGAACCACACCTTCTTGAAGAGACTCTAGAGGCTGAGCTCGGGTCCGTGTTTCGTCAAAGAAGACTCAACCTGTGTATTGGGTTGTAGAGTAATTTCTAGGTTCACTAATTGAACTGTAACTTCCTCAGGTTTGGCTGCTGAGACTGAACCTCATCTGGAGTAGAAGTGTCACCTCAGGTTATCTGGAAGAAGGTGCGATTTTCTGTACAGTGTTCAATCTGTAAGTCTTGTTGTTGTTGTTGTTGTTGTTAAGTGCCGTTGGGTCGTAGGCGACTCATAGAGACCCTATGAATGAAAGATCTCGACACTTGGCGTGCGTGACTTTCATCCTTTTTCCAGGTTCTTAGGGTTTCCAGAGGCAAGCTATTTACGGAAGTGGATACCACTCCTGCTTCCAAGCTTGTTTCAACCAGGGAGCTCCACCAAACATGGTCCACCATGGGTAACCATTATCGCATTTGACACATCAGTGTCACAAGTGTTCAGCTTCACAGCGACCATAAGTTACCTCTGTATGGCAAGTAGACACAACAGGGCTATACGACCTATAAGACTGTTTGAACAAAAACAATGAAAAATAGGCCCGAGGGCCCTTCAGTATTTTACACTTCCAGCACACTCAAATGCTGGCCAACTCTGGGCCAGAGACCCCCAGTTTATCTGACAAGTCTGCTCTGCTGACCCCCACTTGGGGCACAGAGGAAGCCACAAGCACCTGGAACCTTCCATACCTGCCTCTCCTCAAGAAGCCAGAGGCCACGTGCAGCCGACACTAAGTCTCCCATAGTAAGTCTTAGTGTTATAATAAGATCCAGATTCTAAGGTTTAGCTGTAACAGTGTTCAAATTTCAGTTGATTTTGAAACTGGTCTGGGTGTGGAATGGTCACCTCACAAAAATCTGAAGGTGGTCCTATTGTCTTTTTGTGGGGTTGTGGGTTCAACCTCTCTGGTGTATTCTGGAGTTAGGGGAAGTTTCAGGTCCAAAGGGTTATCTGTAAAGTCACTCAGGTTTGGATGCTGAGCTTGAATCTGGTCTGCATATAGAATAGTCACCCCAAGACCATATGAAGACAGTGTTTTAGGTCTATCATGGGGCTATAGAAGAGGTCACAGCAAACTCTAGGTTCAAAGGTTGAGCACTGGGCACATGTAATGCTGAGCCTGGCACTGAACTTTTACCTCATGAACCACTGGAGACGGAGCTATGTCCCCTCTAGGAGGCTCCAGAAATTGAGCCAGGATTATTCATTCACTAGGCTGTCAAAGATTCTGTCACTCTAGGCTGTGCTAGAGCTCCCTCTCTGCTGGATTGAAGATTCTGCCTTATGCAAGGGGGCTCACCCAGTTGAGGTGGGGTCCCCGGCTGGATTGGTGAAGGTTTTAGAAGGCTCAGGAGTCTAAAGTGTGGGGCAAGTGGAAGTGCTGGGAAGACTCCACTTCTTTAGGGAGTTCTGGAGAAGGGGCAGAAGCTATCAGTCTCAAAGGGCTCTCTGTAGATGGAGCTGGTGCCTTCTCCAGAGGGGGTGGTCTGTGGATTTTGATATGTGACCTCCTGTTGAGTTGGAGGTTCTGTCTGCACAAGGGGCATCAGGAGACTAAATGGGGACCCCTGCTCAGCTGGAGAAATGCCAGTCTCCTCAGCTGGATGTGGAGCGTGAAATGGGACCTCTCACTGATTCCACCTCCATACGGGTTCTGGAGATAGAGATGAAGTCTGTAACTAGGTTGTAGAAAATCTGGCCTCTGTAATAGGTTGTAAAGTTATAGTGAGCACTACTAGATCAAGAGTGGCAGTGGGTAGTGCTGGATGCCAAGTTTCACTCAGAATTATAGATGAAACTGTCATTTCTTGCTATGTCATAGATATTGAATTACAACACTTTTTAGGTGGCTCCGGGGTCTCCTGAATATTTGATGGTGGTTCAGTCTCCTCAAGTTGCTCTGAAGGCTGAGCTGAGGCTTCTTGTTGGCCTGAGGGAAGTGGGACAGATACAGAGTAGTCTGCAGGTTCTGTTGTTGAATTATGCTGTGGACTGTAAAAGCTTCAAACTTGAGGTTGAGCTGGGGCCTCTTGCAGAGTTTAAAGATTATTCAGCCTCCTTTGTGGACACTGGAGATTGTAATGAGTCCTTCAAGTGGACTGGAAAATGATCACTCTCTATAGGTCACACTGGAGACTGAGCTGGGGCCTCCTGCAGGACAGTAGGTGGCTCCCATTCCTTCATGGACTCCAGGGGTCTCCTCTTGCTGGTTTGGGAAAGGCTAACCTCATCAAAAGGCCATTGTGGTTGTGTTCTCCTGGGCTGAAGAAGGTTGATCTCCTGCAGTTGTTTCTGAAGCTATGCTAATTTTACTATGACTTTGGACAACACTGGATGATGCTGGCTTTTACCTTGACTCATAAATGAAACTATGATCTCATGATACCCCTGTTTGTGAAGTTACTGCCTCTTTAGGGGGATTTGGAGGTTTACCAGATGTCTTGCAGGACTGGAGAGACTTCCTCACAGAGCTCTGAAGGATGAATTTGATCCTCGTGTTGTGTTGGAGGCTGTTCACACTCCTTAATGGGGTCTGCTAGCTGTGTTGGGTTATTCAGTTGCACTGAATGGTCAGGACATCTTCATTGCCACTTGGAAGCTGCGCTGAGTCTTGCCAGGGAGTAGAAGTTCCATCTTCCTTATTTTACAGTGTAAGTTGTGGCAGGTCCTTCAGTGTAATGAGACAGGATTGAGAATCCTCAGGAGGATCTGGGTCTAGAGGTTGAAGTGGGTTGTCCTTCACTGGAGATGTTTGAAAAAGAGGCTTCCGATCGCAAGCCTTTTGGGCTCTGAGCGCATCCCTTGCCGAGTAGAATTTGATGATGGCGTAGAAGTCTGGTCGGGCCACTACAGCATTTGGGAAGACGCGGACTGAATACAGAAGGCCGAATGTGGAGAACTCTGGGAACAGAAAACGAATTCTTCGTCCGTTGGCCCAGAGCTCAGATCCCACACCACCAAAGTTATGTCGTACTCCGTAGGAATCGCAAATGGAAATCAATTCCGCCATCCCATCGCCACTGCGCTTGCGTAGCAGAGTCCTGTACTAATGCGCCTGTGCAAAGTGAGCCCGCGAGTTTTAAAAAGCTGTTTTTAGAAACTGTCCGAGTCCCAGAAAAAGTACTTCCAAGATTGGAAAGGCTCTTTTCTTAAAAAAAAAAGAGGGCTCCTAGCTTGAATGGGAAATGGGTCAGATAAATGAGACTGGCAAATGCTAAAATACAGACTCTCATTAAAATGTGTTCTGCTTCATTAATTAATTAATATCCTTTCATTAATTCCATTAATGTCCTTTATAGCAATGTGACTTTTTTGTTTGTCATGTCTATGATACAGTCCATTTGTGCAAGACCATTTCATAAAATGAGAAAAGGTTAGTTGGCTAGACTATGCTATTTTCTTCATGTAATCGTAATCCTATTCAAACAGATTAATTTACAGGAAGACCCTTTAAGAAATGCAAACAACTTTAAACATGTTGTATTGAGAGTGTCTGACAAATGGTTAGTTACAATTAGAGAATTGTATTTTTTGAAGACTTTTACTACATTTTCTTGTATTTAAAGGTATCAGATTGACTGAAATAACTCGGTGAGAATGTCTCCAGAAACAATGAGATGTAATTTGCCCAGAGGAAGCTTAACTTCACTTTGAGGTTAGGTGGTTTAAACTTGGAGTTAGCTAGTCTACAAAAGTATAGCTTATGTTCATTCCACTTTCAGTGCTCCCTGGTTGAAATTCTCCTATGACATTTAATGCCCAGAATTGTTGTCTGTCTTAAGGTAGAGTTATGGCTCAATGATGAAAAGTCTCATGCCATGGTTATCCCAATGCATTTGATGATGGTGCAATGATCAAAAAGATGCCAGTGATGACAATTGAACGTCCCTTTGCCTTCCCAGCCTCCTTCATATATTCTCAGGCATAGGATGACAAAGGGAAGTCCACGAGTCACATGGAGAAAAACTGGAGCCATGGATACACGATCAGAAGTTCCTTTGTTCGCTTCTACCCCCACCTCCGTGCCACCACCCAGTTTATATTCTTCTCATGCTGATTCCCCACCATCTTGCCCTTAACCACCATCTTCTGCTCAAGGCTCAACTAATGACTAATTTTAACTATACCAATGGTTAACTCATATCTGGAAAAGCATTAATGCTCCAATAGTCATTGAATGAATGAATGACCCCAAGTCTTCCAAGGTAATGACAGTTTATAGGATTTGTTTTTGAATAAAATCAAACAGAAGTCTGTGGGTTGGAAATAAAAAAATTTTGAAACACATCAGCTCTAATTTTTACCAGTTGTGCCACTAACTAGAATTGAGACATAGGCTTAGACTCTCTAAGCTATTGTTTTATTAGAAAATGAAAATAACAATTCCCAGCTTGAAGAGTTTTGTGAATATTAAAAGATAATATATATGAGGATGCTCAGTAGCTGGAAATACTAGGACCTCAGTGAATGCTGATTTTCTTCCTTCCTAAGAATATTCTTTGTGCTATCTTTGTTGCTGTTAGTTGCTCTGGAGATGATTGTGAGTCATGGGGACCACAAATGGTCAGAAGAGAACCACAGTTGGGGTTTTCCAGGCTGTGATCTTCCTGGAAGCAGATCACCAGGCCTTGCTCCCAAGATAACTCTAGTAGTTTTGAACTATCAACCTGTAGGTTAATAGTTCACTCTTTAACCTTTATACCACGTAAGTATGTTTAAATCTTAAGATGAGGGGAAAAAATAGAGAAGAGTAGTTTCTTAAGTGTGTGCATATCTTAGAAGAAATAGAGGTAAGTAGAAGTGATAGGGAGGAATATTAGAAATTTTTAAGGAAAAGATTATATCTATGGTTAATTTTCTTGATTGGAGCATAAGGGAGAATTCAAGTGGTCCATTAATTATACTTACCAATTGGGTCTAATTGGCAACTACCCCAAAATGAATAAAACAAGCGGGAATCAAGAGAGAAAAACGGCAGGCATCCTGTCAAAAAATAAAATTCTTGAAATGTCTACAACCCAATAGTCAGATACACATTTTATTAAAGCAGGCCAGTCATCCAATTTATGTAAATTTGAACACATGATGGGAACCCAAGTGACATAGTGTCAAACAGCCTTCTGTACTAGCTGGACTTATCTCATCACTCCTTAAATAAAACAGGTCTTTATAGTCATCTCAGGGAGCACTGGTGACCTAGTCTGTAGGGAGTTATGCTACTAACTCTCTCTGGCAGTTTGAGTTCACCAGGAGCTCAAGGCAGAAAGATGGGCAGTCTCCTCCCATATGAATTACAGCCTCTAAGAAGACACCAAGAGTGTTCAGGTGGGAGTGGTCGGCTTCCAACTAGGTGGCCAAAAGCAGAGTTGTAGCTAAGATTCTCTATTTTGGAGCAAGTGTCCTTTATGATTCTGCTTCGATTGCTGACATGTAAAAAGATTAACTGATCTGATTCATGTGAAGTGCTTGTAACAGTGCTTAGCACTTAGTTGCCCTCAATAAATATTAGTTGCTACTAATATTAATTATAGAGAGCTCTGGTGGCCTAGTGGCAAGAAGCTACACTGCAATCTCAAAGGCATGCAGTTCGAGGCCACCAGCTGCTCCATGGGAGAAGGACTGGAAATCTCCTCTCGTGCTATTAACTGCTTCTGAAAACCTACTGGAGGGTCAGCTATGGGTCAGTTGGTATACAACAACAACAACAACATTATGAGTATTTATCTTTCATTTTTGTGTTTTCGGGGTTAGGGTAGGATCTAGACTCCTCTACAAAGCATTTTTAAGAATTCTAAAAAAAAAAAGCCATATACATGGTTGATTGCTACTTTTAACATAAAAGAACTGCAATTTTTTGGAGGCCACCACATTTTCCCTCCTCTCTTTCAAGAGGAACCGAAACAAATTCAAAGTTGTCAACTGACATGTGAAATGTTACATTTATTGAACAGATTCCTGCGTTCCCCTGTCTTTTGTCTTCCTTTGTCAAATTGCATCAGGTGCAAATTGAGTACACGCATAGCTAACCCTCCAGCAGGTTTCCAGAAGCAGTGAATCCCATCAGAGGAGACTACTCATCTACTTTCTGTAGAGCAGTTGGTGGATTTGAACCACATGTCTCTGGAATTGCAGCACAACTTCTTACCACTAGGCCACCAGCGCTTCTTTAACATTCATAGTTGGTGATAACTGGAGGTAGGGCATGGTCAAAGGATAACTGTTAAATTAGAGGCAGGATCTTAGCCCACTTTTTACAGAAAGTCTTTTGGTAACTCCTCAGTGCCCACAAAATGAGCAAATTGCCTTTTCTTTAGAAGGTACTCATTGGGAAGAACACAAAGCAATATAGCTTGAAGCAAACAATTTTAAGGGTTGGGTCCCCTGAATTCACTGTAGTTTAACAGTAAGCCAAGAGTGACTACTGTATATTTTTGCAGAAAATTACTAATTAGCACATTCCTGAAAACATAAATTGAGCTTGTGAGCACACACTCCCAAGGCCTCTCTACAGTTGTGGATAGCAATTAGAGCATTTGCTAAATACTATGAGCAAAGCTTCAAATAGAAGACAGCAACACAATTCCCACCGTCCTCTCTAGAAATGCAGAACATTCTTTAATGGCGACAAGCACTAAACAGGCTGAGCTACACCTTCCCTGTGGAGTTAAAATAATGCCATCCCCCCCACACACACACAGTTTCCAAACCCTAATCATGGTACCTTAACAATGATTAGCCAAGGTAAAGTTAGTGGTGTAGTTAAGAATGGATAAGCTCAACTGTGAGGAGTGTGTTGCTTGTGTTCCTTGTTGTCTGGATAGTTAACTTTACAGACATGGTGGGGAAAATGGGGAATAAAGGTCCAAGGAGCTGACATTTTACTGAGGCTCATAGCTTGAGAGCCCTATCGGCATTTGCTGCTCAAGTTCACAGAATTGTATTTCAATTGTGCAGTGTGGTGTCAATGGACCAAGACAAGTCCCACCACCTCCACCTCTAATGAAGATGAGGCTGAGCAAAGAGCAATAAAATAGATGGTTAGGGCTAGGGGCTAAATCAGTATATAAATTTAGGCAAGATCAAAATATACTTGCCCTTTCTCTCATTCTGACTCTATTTCACTGTAATAACCCAGGACTTGGAGTGAGATCTTGGGACAATGGAGTTGGACACTGGGGGGTCTCAGGAAGATAATAAGGAATATGAACAGTTCTAGCTCTACTAGGTTGAGCACATGGTGGGGATGTTAAATATGAGACTTTTCTGGTTGACCAGTATAAATAGACTATCTGGTTTCAACTAAACATTGGGACTTGAATTTGGGTATCTTTGTCATCCACCAGCTCCAAAATCGAAAGATTATTTTGAATCCAACTTCAAAATTCACTAAAAGTATGTATCCAAACCATCTTGTCGCCCTGATAATTTGTGTATACATCCTTAATGTGTTTATTTTTAAACTATAATTGTGATTATAGAAATCAATTTTGTATAACATACTTTTTTAGCTTAAGAAAAACATAAAAATACACTTGAATAGCCATCCATATTTATGGATCTTTAGGCTATTTCCATTTTCCCCCTACTATAAATAGTGTTGCAATAAAGAAGTATAGAAGAAATACTTAGAAGCAAAATTATAGGATTAATATCCATTGATCTTGTGTATTATCAAGCTGTAGCTGAGCTATAGCTGACACTTGAGAGAGATTTCAGAGGGAGTCAATTCTGAGAGGACACTGCCCATCTTTCTCCTGTGGAGCAGTTGGTGGATTTGAACTGCCTTCCTCAGAGATGGCAATGTAGCTCCTTACCACGAGGCCACTAAAGTTACCTAAATTTTAGTATGGGTAGCCAAAATGTCTCTCTATATAGCTGTTCATATTTGCATTCTATGATATTGTTAAAAATTGTAGTCAGCTTAATGACACCTAACACCAACATCATCAACAACATATTTGTTGCTTTTATGTGCCGTTGAGTTGCCTTTGACTCATAGCGACCCTATGTACAACTGCCCTAAACCCTGCTCTATCCCTTGCCAATCGTATTTGTCTCTGACACCCCTACCCCCATTATCCCAGTCACTGAATCAATCCTTCTCCAGCACCACAGCTCAAAGGCATCGATTCTCCTTCTATCATCCTTAGTCATATTTACACGCTATTAAAAGATTTAGGAATATGTATTTCTTTAAATATGTATTTGTAATATATACAATTTAAACATTTTCCCAGTTTGATAAGTTTAAAAAGTTTGATTTAATTTTCATCTATTTAATTATAATTTGACCATTTAGTGGTTTCTTTCCTATATTCTTCTTACTTTACAGGATTGGAGGAAGACTCATCAACAACCTGTGTTATGCAGATGACATAATCTTGCTTGCTAAAAGTGAAGAAGACTTAAAACACTGCCAAAGATCAAACACAACCACCTTCATATGGGTTATATCTCAACATCAAGAAAAGAAAAATCCTTACCACTGGAACATCATCATGGTGGAGAAAAGATTGAACTTGCCAATGATTTCATTTTACTTGGATCTATAATCAACACACATAGTAGCAGCAGTCAAGAAATCAAAAGACCTGTTGCATTAGGGAAATCTGCTGTTAAAGATCTCTCCAAAGTTCTGAAGAGCAAAGATGTCTTTTTAAAGACTAAAGTGCACCTGATTCAAACCATGGTTTTTTTCAATTGCTTCCTATGCATGTGAAAGTGGAACAATGAGTAAGGAAGACTGAAGAAGAATTGATGCCTTGGAATTACGGTGTTGGCAAAGAATATTGAATATCACATGGATGGTTAAAAGAACAACAACAACAAATCTACCTTGGAGGAAGTGTAACCAGAGTGCTCCCTGGAGGCAAGGATGGTGAAATGTCAACTGTGAGCACATTCTCAAAACGAACCAGTCCTTGGAGAGAGACAGCATGCTAGGAAAGGTGAAGAAAAAGAGGAAGGCTCGCCACAAGATGGGTTGTCAAATGATTATCACAATGAGCTTAAGCAGGACAGAGATATAAGAATGGTGCTGGACAGAGCAAGGTTCAGGCCACTTGTCCACAGGGTCACTATGAGTCAAGAATATCTAACAACAACAAAATAATCTCCTTTTAAGTGTATTTTTACCCATTTTCCAAGAGGACTTTATTTTTCTCTTTATAAATTGTTATTTGAATTAAATTTTATAAAACATTTTTATTTTCTATCCAACAATTCATACACATTTTTTTCTTATAATATAAATTTTAATACCCAAAATGAAATTGCACATTCTTCACTTCTCTGCCATTCTCATTTCCATTAATCTTTCTATTCTATCCCTTCCTTCCTTCTGGGTTTATCCTTGGATAAACACTGTTCTTTGAACCTCATAGCGTCATGTGTCTTCAAGAAAGCATGACTTCTTGGTGTTATTATTGTCAGAGCCCTGTACATTGTTTGGCTGGAATTTGGCCATGAGGTGAGTTTTCTTTCAAATTTAAGGGTGACCAACGGCTGTAGGCTCAAGGGTTCCACAAGTCTCACAAAGGCTTGTAAGCCTGGCCATTTTTATATTTTTTAGTTTTGTTCTACATTTCCTTCCATTCTTTCTTGGTTCTTCAACTGTGATTCCTTTTAGAGTTATAAGCAGTGGTAGCAGGACACCATCTAGTACTTCTGAATCCAGGGTCACGGAAGTAGATGCTTGCTTGATCCACTATTCCTTCAGACTAATTATTTCTGTACATCTGTGTTTTCTTTGTTCTGGTCAAGAAAGGGACCAAACATTGAATGTAAGCTTTTAAGACTTCAGTTGCTCCTCACCAAAGTAGTATGTAAAACATTATCTTTGCAGACAATGTTATCCCAATTAACCTTTATATTCCCCAAGGCTATAATCTTGAGATCCAGGAACTCATTCCCTCAGGGTGTTTGGTAATGACTAAGACCTATGCATAGCTTTGCCCTCTGTTAGTTTTGCTACATACATTGGA